CATCGAAGCTACCAACATGAATTTGACCAAACTCTGGGAGGCAGTGGAAGACAAGAGGACCTGCTCTGGTCCATGGGGTCACAATAATGACTAAAGAACAACAACAGTAAAACCCACATGTTCTGAGGTATAAAAGGTTTCAATTCAGTTTCATGGGGGGGGGAAGGTAAAATGACAGGAATTTGGGTTAGAAGTGCAAAATAACCCATATAATCAGCATAAAGACAGGAACTGAGATAATATTGGGTGATCTAGGTCAAGTGACATGTCTGGAGAAGCCCTGTGGTCCAAGTGATTCCTTGGTGTTGTTTGTTTGTTTCTCTGTTGCACACAATAATGTAGCTCTTTCTGGTGGGAAGGAAACAAACAAAATCTGGACTGTCTCAAAACAGTTCTTGCCTTCCTACGGGCACTTCCCTGTTTCGTAATCTGTTGTTGTCAATGATCCTGAAAGAGACATGTCAGGATCATTAAGAATCTGTCTATCACTTCATGGTCCCTTTTAAGAACTAGTCACTGTTCACAGAAATAAATATAGCTTTCTGAATTCACAGATGAATCTAGTGTCCTTTAAGAAGTCATTAGAATTAGAATTAGAATTAGAATGCCTTCCTGTAGTTCTTACCTACAATATGTCATGGGAGGTCTCAATGTGACTTCTTCAATGTGATTTTAGACTTCTTTATCAAAGGGTAATCTTGCCTAGAAATCTCTGTTGCATTTACTAACATTAATATATTGCTAATATAAACCTTTTCCATCTTTGCTACCCCATGCAGTAAAGAAATAATAATTTTTAAAAATCAGAAGCTTACAGCTGAAGACCAAAAGGGCAAAATTATTGTTCTGTGCAAAGCAGCTTCTAGCCCCATGCCAGCCACATGTTCAGGAAAGAGAGGCTAGAAGCAGATTGTGATGAAGCATTTGTGGGGGGCGGGGGGGTATCTGATGTTCAAAAGAAAAAATTCCCTGGCTCTGTTCAAAATTTTGAATATTCTAAAAGTAATTGTTTCAGTTGTATTCATCAACTAACAGTGAATTTTTAAAAAAGCATAGGGATGAATGGTTTCACTATATGTAGTTTTAGAGCTTCCTGTCCCTTCAGATGCTTGATCAATGTTGTTGTTGCTATATGCTGTCAAGGTTACCTTATGATCACCCTATGAATGAGGGTGTCAATCCTCCAAAAAGCCCTGTTGAGCTCTTGTAAACTCAAGCCTGTGGAGTCAAACCGTTTCATATTTGATCTGCCTCTTTTCCTTCTGCCTTCAGCTTTCCCAGGATATTTGGCTAATGCTCCATCCATGGCTACAGGTTGCTTTTAAATGGCCTCCTGATAATTGGCGATTTCTCTGTAGCTGGGCTTCTGTTTTTGTGGGTGGTGATGGCAATGAGATGCCTTTCTGAGTTGAGAGAAAGCAACACCCTTCCAGCTGCAAGACTGGTCCAAGACTTTTTGCTGTCTGGCAGAGGAGTAGACAGTGCCTTCTGCTTTTGTTCAATGTACATTGTGAACATCCGGACAGCCAATGTTTCCCCACTCTGACCAAGTGGTCAGACCGACTTCATTGGTCCATGTCAGACAAGTGGCACACCATGCGAAGAACAATACAGTTTTGACTTGGAGAGAATCTGCCATTTGTCAAATTTATCCTAGTCTGTTAACCATGACATCCCATAATGCCTGGAGAACTTTCCGTCCTCTGGCGCATCTTACTGTACTTTTCCAGATAATCTGCACAATTTGTTTTATGTTGGTTCTGTCATCTTGCCCAAAGTCGAACAGGTTGTAAATCAACTGTACAGCAGGGCACGGTATGTTCTCTTCACAGAGCACCTCCCTGCGAATGAAGATCTCCCTCCTTCAGGCTTCAGTTAGAGAGGATGGCAATCGTGTACGGTAGAATACAGACAATAGGGGGATGGGGGTGTTGGAGTCACTGCTCAGTATAGCCGTGGTAGGGAAACGTTTCCCTCCAGGATATTCTGGTCTACAACTCCAATCAGCCCTAACCAGCTTGGCCAGTTCAAAATGTCACAAAGGTCAAAACTTTCTTACATCTCCTCTAGGACAGGCATGCCATTCTCCATCAGCAGTGCACTTTGCATTCTACACACACAGACCAGAAAGAACAATCTCTAGGCTAGAAATCTGACATCAGAAACGGAAGGACACAAAAACTTGTGTCAGACTATTTCAGATTCTCCAAACTCTTTATCACTCTTTATTCCACAGAAAAGCGCTCTCTCTCTCTCTCTCTCTCTCTCTCTCTCTCTGTGTGAAAATCAATGATACTTTAATGCAGCCAATGAGAATAGATAGCAATGCTTAAGCCTAAACTAAACAAACATACTCAATTCCTTTCCAACTTTCAGTGCAGTTTGGTGTTTTTTATGTTACTATGCTGCTCCCCTCCCCCTGGGAGATGACGTTCTGTGGGACAAATAGACAACAGTATACTCATGTATTATTTTTGTTTCTTTCTGATTACTGATTTCTGATTACTGATAATCCATATAGCTTCCTCAGTAAAGTATGTCTGCAAATAAGAAGGGTTCTTGGACCCTGAGGGAGCCTTTCTTCACTCTCTCTCTCTGTATTATAATTAGTGCCTCATGCTTCCTCAAGATTTAAACTCAGCCTCTGCACAACCATCTCTGCTTCAGTAGCACAGATCTGTTTCCAAGGTCTAGCTCCCTCATATATATACAAGTCCTTTTTCTTTCCACTGTCTACCATCTTTCCACCTGAGCCCTGATTTGGAGTGAAATTGGATTTTTCTCTTTTTTGCTGAAGCTGCGCCCACGTTTGCAGAACGATGGGTTCTTCCCACTCAATGTCACAGGAGACCCAGGAGCTTGCGGATAAAACCGGCTGTAAGTACATAGAGCTCATCTCCTTCATTGCCTCTTTCCTGTTACTCCTGTACTGTCTTTATTTTCACTTCATCTTTTGACACTGGCCTTTTCTTTGTTTGCAAAGGTGACACAAAAATTATTTGCTAAAAGAACCACCTTCTCTTTCTCTCTTGGGCATCAAATACATCTCTCCAAAGGGGGGCTGATCCTTATCAGAAGAATGTGGCTTAATAGGTTGAATGATTCCTCCCCAGCCCTCCCTGTGAGTGTCTTTTTAAAATCTTTCTGCAATGTATTCATGCTTTTGAAACACTATCAATGTGCTCACATGCACCAGCAATGATAACATTCCACAGATACCTCACAGTTAGGCAAAAGGAAGTTTGCCAACAAGACCTCTAAGTTGCAGGACCTCCTCTGTCTGCAGTCCTGCGGTTCTGACTTCCAGGAGGTTTATAGGAAGTGTGCAAAGGCAGATATCCTCATGTCTGATGTCTCTGTCCTGCAAACTCATTGCCTGTGCCAGTCCTTGTGCCAAATTGGAACAATCCAGACACAACAGGAAAATATGAGGAGACTTTGGAAGCTCCGACATTTCCAGTTACAGAAGATCCTTAAAAAGGGTATCCTGAGAGGGGATGATGACCCCAAAGCAGCCCAACGATGACTGGGCTCATTTAGAGACCACAGAAAGCTGTCACCCCTTTTTCCATTTAAGTTGCCTTTATTAAATTGATCAAGCTGTGTTTATGGACTATCTACATTGTCAGCTATTAATATCAGCTGTTTCTCAGAACCTCTCCTGCGAGGTTGTTGATCATGTGGATCAACAAGCACTTCTCTAAAGATTTTCTTGGTGTACAGTTTGAAAAGCAGTAGTTAAATAAATTACAGCAACAAGATTAGGGCTATAAACTTAATTTTCATCAGCTCTTTTCCAATTCATGGTGAATTCTATGAATTAGCAACTTAAAGAGGCCCTGTCATTAACAGCTCTGCTCAGATCTTGCAAATTTAAGCTCATATTGGCTGAAATCCTGTACAGTGGCCCCTCTACTTACAGAATTAATCCGTATTGGAACGGTGGCTGCAGGTCGAAAAGTCTGTAGGTTGAGGCTCTATTGACCTACAATGCATTGAAAACCGATTAATCCCATAACAGGCCGTTTTTGTTCCATTTTTGTTCCTTTTTTTTTCTGGTCTGCAAGTCGAACCTAAATTTTGGAGCCACAGAAGTCTGTAACTCGAAAAGTCTGCAAGTCGAGCCGTCTGTAAATCGAGGGTCCACTGTAGTAAGTTACAACTAGAATAAGCCCACTGTGTGAGTGAGGATTTGTTGAGTCAACTCTTCCATAAGTTCCATTGATTCAATGAAATCAATGGAACTAGTTATGATTTATTACACAAGGTAATAGGATTTCAGCCAACAGGAAAGATCGATCCTTTTTTGTAATTGGTCTTCCTGTTTTCCTCCTACTTCCAACTTTAAGCAGCATTATTGTCTTTTCCATAGTATTATCTTCTCAGGCTATGCCGAAAGTATGATAGTCCCAGTTTAGTGTTTTTTCTTTTTTTCTTTTTGTCATCCAATGTGATGCAGTGGATAGAGTGACAGACTAGGACTCAGAAGGTCCAGATTGAACCCCTGCTCAGCTATAGAAATTCACCGGAGGTACTAGCATCCACTTCTTTTAATTTCTGGTTTAATGGTATCTGTCAAGTTCTATTCCAACATTATGCTTCATATGATTTGTTGTTTTTCTAGATAGTTTTCACATTTGTACAAAGTAACAAGTGTGACACTTGAGAATCTTTTCTAGTTCCTTTATAGCTGTCTGTGAGCTCCCCCTACATCTCATCCATAATGACACAACAAGTAGTTGCAGAAACAAGTTCTTTATTAGAGCAATGAAATTTCTTAAAGGGCCAACAGGACCAAACAATAAAATGTAGAAACTTTAGAGTGCCAGGGAGTTGCCTTCACTCACTGTCCCTGGGAGTAGCATAGGCATTTTCCCCCTCTATGCCGCCATAGTCTCCTTCTGCAGTGGCTACTCCATAAATGTGGTAGTCCTCTGAAGAGGTACAGCCAAACTCAACTCAGACCTGGTTAGGCTCTCCAGAGTAGTGTGGTGCAGAAGGGGGAAGTATGGGAAGAGTACAGATTGAAAGTCGTGGTTACATAAATTAGAGCAACAAGAAGATTATGGTTATCAACTGAATATAGCCATATACAGTGGTGCCTCGCTTAACGAGCGCACCGTTTAACAACGAATCCGCATAGTGATGCATTTTTTGCGATCACATTGTGATGTTTTAGGTGGCAAAACATTGCATTGCGATGATTGGTAAGCGTTTCGCTTACTGATCTTCGCATTGCGATGTTAGGGAAACAGCTGATCAGCGGTTCCAAAATAGCTGCTGGGTGCAGAAAATGGCCGCCCGCAGCATTTTCGCGCCCTGCCCTCGCTTACCGAGGCGGCGAAAATGGCAGCCGGATGGGGAATCTTCACTTACCGGTGAGTTTTCCCCCCTTAGGAACACATTAAACGGAGTTTAATGCATTCCTATGGGGTTTTCTTTTCCATATAGCGATGTTTCTGGATAGCGACGTTAATCCTGGAACGGATTAACGTCACTATGCGGGGCACCACTGTATAGTATCTGGCTGGCTGCGGGTATGCTGACCAGGAGACTTCCACTGCTTTCTCTGCCAACATTGTGCCTGTCTCTGGTTCTTGAGCCTCTGAGCTTCCCATTGCCTGGCCTTGTCTTGGCGAACACAGGCGGCCTCTTCAAGTGGAGTCAGCAGCTCAACCCAGCATGCAGTGTTGCGATCACAGTGGCAGATGGTCTCCCAGCTGTTGACATCTCCGGCATCTTTGAATGCCTCCCAGTCCACAGTGTCAACCCAACAGTCCATCTCTCCTGCCTCACTCTCCTACTTATATTCCATCTCCACCATAGCTACACCTGTGGCCTCAAGGGCATTGTCTGTGTCTCCACTGCCAACGCCCCAGTCCACAGGTGACTGCAAGTTGGGAATTTCACCCTGACTCTCAGGAAGGTGGAGAGCCCACTCTAGTGGACAGTGTTACCAGTCCCACACTGTTCTAAATCCCAATCTTCTAACTTCTTCATTGTCAACAATGAAGTTATACAATTATTCTGTAGCCCTGGTTTTTGTAATAATATTGAATTGCAAAATCCTGCTTTCACAGTTCTTCTTACACCTTCGTAACTATTCATTTCATTGCTTTCTGCAAGTAACATAGTGTCATCTGTATTTCTTAAATGACTTCCAACCAGTTTTCAATTCTGCTTTCCCTGAACTTAATCTAGCTTTTTGTATGGTCATAGATTGAACAGATAGAGATAAAATGCACCTTTGTCTGAAAACATAGGCTATTGGAAATCATTCTGTAAAGGCACTCTTTACAGAGCCTAATAGGCAGAAAGAATGTTTAACCATTCATGGTCTCCCAGCCAGTTCTGGACATCTCCGGTAGAGATGGGGATGAATGTTTTAAAAATGGTGATTAGTTATGATTCATGATTCGTCAAGGTGGACAAATCAATGAATATGAATTTATGAATATTCTCTGATGAACTGATGAATCAATTCATCAATTTGTTTTCACTTTAAAATGCTATAAAACTGGCCGCCAAGCACCTAGAGAAACCAAATTTGCAGATAAGCTTCCTCAGACAGTTTTCTACAGATTTGGTGAACATTGGGTTCCGGACCCCTGAGTTAAATGGTGAGCAGTGGGACACCCCCAGGAAAGTTCCCCCAGGTACTTAGAGAATCCTAAATCACATAGAAGCTTTCTATGTCTTTTCCTATCAAGCCTGCCGAGTTTGGTGATGACTGGTTATCGGACATCTGAGTTATTCACCCACAAATTGGGCCCCCATCAGCATAAGAGGGGGGGAAAGGGATCAAAGCAATCCCCCCCAGCTTAAAGCGATGCCGCAAAGGCAGCGGAGCTGGGGGATTGCTTTGATCCCTTTCCCCCTCTTCCTATGCTGCAGAGGATAGAAAGGGGGGGAGCCCGATCCAAGCCATCCCCCAACCCAGGGGGTGGGTTTCCCTTCTGGCAGACTTTAGCAAGCCGCCAAAGGGAAAATTCCTCTCTGCTTATGCCTCTGGGGAACAGCTGATCCACGGGGGGGGCATAAGCAGGTAGGGAAAGAAGGGATGAATATAAAAGGGTTATATTCGTTGCTTCATATTCATTCTCTGGACTCCAAGAATATGAAGCAATGAATATCTGATGAATCAGGGATATTTGTTGAATATCCTAATTTGTTTTTATATTCGTCCTCATGACTAATCTCTAGCAACGGCAGTACTTCCTGGGCTTCGAATGCCTCCCAGTCCAAAACTCCCAGACCCCACCCACACAGTCCTCCTCTCCTGCCTTGCTCTCCTCCTTAAATGCCATCTCCACCATAGTGGCAGAAAGAGTACAGTTTCTCCATCTACTACTTCCAGTTATGTAGGTAAATTGATTTTTGTATTGTCTGTCTGGTGACAGTCGCCTGAAGTATGTATTTCTCATTTTCTCTCTCTCTTTATTATGTGGTCACAGACACCCAGCTTAAAACAGTACAACAATAAGAACAAAGTAATAACAAAATCATTAAAGCATACACTGATTGAGGAAAAGCAATCTGTTAGATTGTTTTCATAATCTTAGCCACAGACTTCATGATAGCTTGGTTTTTACCTGCCATTCAATACTCCAGGGACTGAGCACCCTTCTAACTGTTCAGCAGTTTCTCAGGCAGTCCACCTGTTAGAAGCCCCCCTCACCAAATGTTTGAATAAATGTGTTTTCCCCCTAGCTTTCGAATACCTGACTAATCAGTGCTTGGAGTTTGATTTCACTAAAAGGGCGGAGAACTTTGGAGGCAAAGGCGTTGTCTCTTTTGTTAGTTTGGGTGCCTCCTAAGCACAACTCATGAGAAATGCAAATAGAAGGAAACCAATCCTTTAATTCTTCCACCATGGC